CGTATTTGAAATGTATATATATTAAAAGAGGGATTTTTCTAGGAGATAAGATACTGCTATAGTAGGAAGTGATATAGTACCTTCTCGGCTATGAAAGCATAGTAATTCCTCATTTCGGCTTCCGCTAATTGTAGGTCGTTGTTATTTCTTCCCAAAAAACTACAACAAATAAATATCATACAATTATATTGGTGAATAAATATCATACAGTTATATTGGTGAATAAACATCATATACTTATATTGGGCGGTTCAGTCGCGTGAATAAATATCTATTTCTCCCTGTATTAGCATGTCTTTTTGCCCTGGGATTAATTTAAAGTTTCAGCAATTGTTTAGTATTAATGTGAACCTATAGTGTTGTAGTTTCTAGTTTCCTACCTGTAGAAGTTTTCATAATCGGCGACAAACCCCACTTCAATAGTATAAACAGACAGAGATCTTTTACTGCGATGATGTTCTTCAGCTGGACATATAACAATGATATAATAAATAAACACAAAGAGAGAGAGAGAGGGAGAGGGAGAGAGAGAGATGGTGTTTAACATCCACTCGACACAAACTAACACATGGTTCCATTTTATTTCAATAATTCGCTTGCGCGTAGAGGTCTTTAGCAGTGGGAGGAAACCGGGGGAGTTGGAGAAAACCCACGAGGTTAGATAGGCGACCCTACTCCTTGTCACGTACAACCAGGGAATCGAAACCACGCCAGTTGACTCAATGACAGACCTTATGATATAGTGCACAGGTGCTAACCATTCGGCCATCCAACCCCCCTAAAATACAAAAAGGATATATTTCTGAGATGATTTTTAAATAAATGCTGATATAATAAATGCATATAAATATAATGATGTTTTTCAGCTGGAAAATTATAATAAAAAAATTATGTAATTCTGTAGTTAGAGACAATACACTGGAACGGGATTATCATGATCGCTCATTTTGTATTTGAAAGGAGTAGCGGTAGGGGCGGTGGTAAATAGTCTAAAGTCATGACATTTACTGGAAATATAGATGATTTTACATTAATAACTCATCTCTTCTTTCGGTTCAATATGATGTTATTAGCAGGACCGTATCATGAGAATGGTAGACTCGAACTGAAAAGATTCTCGTGTCCCAATAGAAAAGGTACTAAACCATAAAATAAACTACAGATTACAGCACTCTGCAGTTTACAGCATTCAATAGTTCACAGGACTCACGCGGTTTACAGAACTGAAATAGTTTACAGCACCCAGCAGTTTACGGGACTCAATCGGTTTACAGAACTCAAATAGTTTACAGCACCCAGCAGTTTACAGAACTCAAACAGATTACAGCACTCAAATAGTTTACAGAACTCAACATATAACAGCACTCAAATAGTTTACAGAACTCGACAGATTACAGCATTTAAATGTATAGTTTACTTGTGAAACTAAAACATGTGTATAGACCTATTATTTATATCTACTTACCTTGTGGACGGTGAAATAATGTTTCCTGTGAAACTAGAAAATGTTGCGATCCATCAGTAGAAGGTTTGATGTGAATCAATCGCAGTCCAATCTGGAGATGACCTTCCTGGTTAAATATACAAAAACAAACGTTACAAGTTATTTAAGATGACTAAAAGAATTAAATGGGATTGTAACATACTTAGGGGTGAATCTTGCATTTTGATTGGTCAATTAGATACTGTCGATTGGTCAATAACACCCATCTGTTTTAGTAATTTCTTTTAAAATCCTAAAATAGCATGTTGCAATGTCGATAAACACTTCTTGTTTCGCATTTAGAGGGGTCCTAATGATATCAGGACATGTCTATTGCACAATAACACCCCTCTAAATGCCAAACAGGAAGTGTTTATCTCCTAAATAGAAATATGTAGTCCGCTGTGGCCCAAGTCATGGTTGAAACAGTTGAATCTAAAGCACGTTCCCTTGTAGCCGCCTCCTGGTACTGACCCCCAGAAGCATATTTCCACGATGGATCATATGGTGGTTATCCACCACAGACCATATCATGGTTCTAGAGTTACGGACGTTGTAGCGGCCTTGTGGTACTCATGTTGACTGATCAAGCCCTATTGGAGGAACCCTGGAAGAATTGGACAAAGGACCCTAATACAGAGCCGTGTGGTAATCCGTTGTTTACTTACTAAGTTATATAGCTGAGATTTTGGATGTCTTGTTAATAATATCACAGCTTTACGCGAATCGTCTTTATAGGCTGCTAAATCCTGAAAAAGAGAGAAGTGGGTTTAACGTCCACTCGACACAAACTAGATCATTTTTTTGACTCACCTATTGGGGGAAGCGGGGGGATCCGGAGAAAACAAATGAGGTTGGACAGGCGACCTTAGTCCTTGTCACGTACAAGTGTGGGTCTTGAAACTACGTCACTTAATTCAATGACATATCTTATGACGCAAGCTCTTGCGTTAGACCTTTCGAGCATCCAAATCCTGATTGATGACAGCATCAGCGGGTTGGAGCCACGGTGGCTAAGTGGGTAAGACGCTGGCTCGCTAGCTTGGTGGTCGCGTATTCGACCCCTGCATTGGTCGAGAAAGTTCACCGGGAGTAGGGCGGAGGGCCTGGCTAGGACAGCTGTCTAGTCGTTCGGGTGAGACGAATAACCGACATATCCGATATGCCCACCCCACCCACTGACCTTCCGTGGACACGCCAGCTGCCCCCCCCCCCCTTCTCAAGTTGACCATTTGGTGTTTGATGACTGGGCCAGACAAAGGACCGTACACGTGCAACTGAAACAATACTATGTTAGCTGTGTGAACTCCCCAAATGAGAAGTTGTATCGGGTGGTCTGCACGATCGTTAGCTATTTAATTTCCCAAATGGGGAGTGGTATCAAAAACACTCTCTCCTGCACGAGCCACAATTAGATATCGCTGACAGAATACTTTTTAGACTTGTTCCTAATCTTACAAAGCCGCGGATACGACAAGGGTGTTGGTGGGTTCATGGTTGAGAGGTGTTGATTTACGCTCTAAAGTTTCATCCCAAAATCCTTTATCCGCCCCTGGTATGATGCAATATGGCCGACTTGCCTGTCTGTCGTCATTTACTGGGTAATATTGGTCACCATTCAAGACGTAGGTGGGTAATGGCGGTATTTTAACCAATCGTAAGATGGCTTTCTCTCTGTTCGACTGAACCCTGAACACCACAGAATCCGGCATCTTGTTGACGTCATGTTTAAATGACGTATGAATAACTTCCTGATTATTTACAGTCAACAGTTCGACATCAATGATCTCTGAAAATATTAAAACATATATATGTAAATTACACGCGAAGTTTGACAGATTTAAATTGAGTATATATCTTTATTAATTATTTCATATTTCCTAGATTACCACAAGGTTTTCTAATTATCATATTATTTAGTCAGACTCTCATCTCAGATACTTGATTCTCATATTATATTTGATCAATTCACTTGTCACTTCAGTTACTTATATAGAGGGATGACTCGTGTTTTCCTTTTGCGTTCGTCACTTCCGATTGTTGAAACCTTGATTACGCATCTATCGTAGCAATGATCTCTGTGATAAAATAATATTTGGAACGTGTTTAACAAGTTCTATCACATATGTGATGACTGGCACCAATATTGTCCTTTAATCAGAGTCGTCTACAATTTATTCTCTAAAATGTTGGACAGTTTTAAAGGACTTGCAATTTATAACTATATGGAACTCACGGACAGATTTTAATCGGACGAACAGTTTTAATTTGAAACTAAACATCGTGTCCAGCTACGAGGGTTTTGCTGCGAGGATTTCGATGTTCGATAAAGCAATCGGATTCTGTTTCCCCGTGTTTGTTTTTTATCTATCAGCTATCAGGTCGATCCCCTGCTTTAACTTGACTTTATTATGACGAAGGGAGAAGATACCCACCCTTTGTTCCCACGACAGGGAATTTTAACACCGTGTTTTTAAAGTGATATTTGTACACACAAAAACTATTACTCCTTCATCTGTAAATAACTTAATTAAATCCATAGGCGTAAGGGTTCGCTGACCATTAGGGGAGGAAGAACCCGAAATGCCCGAAAAAAATTCGGGTTACAGGCTGCGGCGCCAGCGCAGGTCTCCTGTGAGAGCGAAGCCGCCCTCTATTGCGATCTCCCAGAGAAATTTTGGAAAATTTGACTGTCTTAAACACATTTCCTTCTATTCTAGCCCGTGAATGCAGCAACTTCAAAGTGGTCTAATATGGCATGATAAAGATGGCTGACTGGAATTCCAATAAACAAATCAATCGTTTACAGTCCACCTACAAGGTACAAGAGAAAATTTAACTGCCCCAAACACTTTTTTTGCTATTCCAGCAACTTCAGTGTGGCCGAATATAGCCTATCTTATAGGTGGCTGACCTGAATCCCAAACAATCAATCAATCGTCGTGGGATATGTTGTCCTCGCCCTCCCGGAGAAAATTTTGAAAATCTAACCGCCGCTAATGCGTTTTTCTGGTATTCTAGCCCGTGAATTAAGCAACTCCAAAGTTGTCCATTGGTTTTATCGATCTGAATCCCAACCATCCATCTTGATGCAACTGCATTCATGATTAATAACCGATGTCCGAAAATGCGCACAAAGTAGAGTTAGAGTGACTCCAGACAAAAGGTTTTAATCCATATTAAATTCAAACGGCGTATGTAGACTAGAATAACCAGACGCTAGAAATTGTCACTCGCTTGAGACTGCTGGCTTATTTCGCCGAACACAACTGATTTGAAATTGGAGTAAAAACGGAAACCATTGAATGTAAATCAGTTTATATACATTCATATTACAGTATTATATGCGTTGCGACCCACTTTTGTCAATTTCTAGACCCCAAATGTTAGCGATTTAGCTCCTTTAACTATTTATCTGAGTTTTCGTCGTTAGTGTTGGAATAAGCTACAACCCCCAGGCCAATATTTCGGTAGTATAATACAGGCCAATATTTACTTGGCGAGGCAGACGCCAACAATAACATGTTTATTTATTGGATTTTAATTGATTTGAACAATCGGGTGTTTATTGGATATAATAAAAATGAATTGAACAGTACTAACATGTTTATTTATTGGATATTAAATGATTTGAACTGTCATGTAATATAATAAAGTATTCAATATATTTATTCGGTCTGGTGAATCACTATACTATTATACATTTCTTCTGCATATCTCGCGCTATTAATATAACCTATAAAATTAAAAGGGGGTTTACCGTCTATGAGGGAATATTACGTACGGCCTACTTTCGGGGGTTCTATTACGTGCACACCAATGTGTACATGGGATCTCAGTTTTTCGTCCCATCCCAAGGACTAGACACTGTTCTTGTCAGGTTTTGTGTCTTGTATCACTGACATGGTGAACCACTTTACGGGATGAGACAGGGAATAAAAGTGTACAGAGAGAAAATGAAACACCGTTTAATTACCCTCTTATCTAGGCTGATGAAGGCGAAAATGAAATGAAGTGAAATTAGTGGTTTAACGTCCTATTGTTCTGCCCCATGCTTGATAATGAAGACTGGCTATGACGTGTACTGTGCGTGGAATTTTGTTCGGACAGTCGCGCTACGGCCTAGTCTTATTTTGAATTACGGGTATCAAAGGTTGTTTTAAACCAATGTGTACACGGGACCTCGGGTTTTCGTCCAATCCGAACGACTAGACACGGCTTGTCAGACCGTCAGTCCTTTACCACTGAACTTTGTTTTTAGACCAATACTCTGAGCGAAACCGAGACGCACTGGTCAGCGAACCAGTGTCTTGCCTCACTAAACCTCAGTGGCTCCCCTTACAAGAGAATAAATTAATGGAAAAAAAACTTTATTTATATATGCATAACTTTATTGGCTGCGCGAATAATACGTCATACAAGATGTGACGTCATGTGTTCTATTGCGGTTATTAAACCCTGTCCGCCTCGTACAGTACTAGCAGTTAAAGGGCACATGTTTCTATTCTTTTGCAATCTTAAATGGGTCCAAAAGCTAAGAAAAATGAAATGAAATGAGTTGAAAATGAGATGAAATGGGGTTTAATGTCCTACCGTTCTGCTCCGACTAGGCTAATTTTTTTAATTTTCTAAACAATTATGTTCAGTAAAATACGTGAACAGTCCAAATTTAGAGACATTCGTTTCCGCCTGCTTAGTCCTTTCTACGGCCTTTTTTTATTATGTTTTGTTGTTTGAGAATCAGGCACCATGGCCTACTCTTATAACGAATTCCAACCACCTAGAGATCTTTTACGCGCATGCCAATGTATACACGGGCCCTCGGTTTTTCGTCATATCCGAACGACTAGACAGCTGTCTTTGTCAGGCCTCCGTCCGGCACCGTCGTGACAAGGGGAAACCACGTCGAAAAATCAGGATGAACTTTCTAGGCCAATACAGTGATCGAACACGTGACCGCCAGACCAGCGAACCAGCGTCTTACCTACTTATAGCCCCCATTGCTCCCAGGAATCGTTTAGATCCTTGCCTGCGATATCAGTACTGTGGAAGAGGATGTTAAAGCACCAGCTGCTAGTATAACTTCTGGTTTGAACCTGGATATCGGAAGCCGAATACTACTGGGTATATTCTATTGGCGTGATTCCCCCTTGATGCAGGACGGAGGGCCTTACAAGGACAGCTTGTCGTTCAGATGAAAAACCGAGGTCCCGTGTACACATTGACGTGCGCGAAACAGATCTTTTGACAGATGGAATTCGATATAAGTGTAGGCCGTAGTGCCGCTGTCCGATCAAACTTTCCCTCATAGCACACTGTATGGCGTATGCCCGTTTTCATTAGCTCAGTTCTGAGCAGAACAGTAGGACGTTAAACCCCATTCCCTTTCACTTATATTTTATTATAATTGAGAGATATATAATATACATACCAGCATGGATACTAGATATCATATACAGAACCATAAAACAGGTTACAAGTTTTATCATGGTCATCTTTAATATCTCAAAACTTCTCGAGATAAATTCAGATCAACAGGCACAAATCAGGTATTGGAATTTACCATCTACTAATCCCACAGTATCTACTAATCAGACGAAGTATCTGCTAATCCGATAGTATCTACTAATCCGTTATTACCAAATGAAGTATCTGATAATCCGACGCAATACCTATTATTCTGACACAGTACCTACTAAACCGACGGTATCTACTAATCCGTTATTACCAAATGATATGACAAACCAACACTTCACGGAAAAACTTTCTAAAGTTTCAAAATTCCCTGGTTAGTTTGCACATCACGTGTGTCGCTTAAAACTCCGAGCATTAGCAGTTTTTAGTTTGCCCATCTCACAAATAAATAAAATTTAACGAACAGGATTATATATTGATATAAACTCGTCTTGATACAAATGCTGTTGTAGTAATATTCAACAAGTTATATATATAAGAATAAGAATAGCGATGTAACCCCATTGAACTATACCCTATATAGGTATTATACTAGTTTGTAAAAGCGACTATACCATAATATTATGTTATGGGTGATATATCGAGAGAGAGAGAGAGAGAGAAGAGAGAGAGAGAGAGATGGGGTTTAACGCCCACTCGACACAGGCTAGGTCATTTCGGAACTAACATAATATGCTTCTATTTTAATTCAATAATTCGCTTGCGCGTAGGAGTCTTTAGCATTAGGGGGTGGGGGGGTGGACAGTGGACAGGCGATCCTACTCCTTGTCACATACAACCGGTGTATCAAAACCACGCAAGTTGACTCAATGCCAGACCTTATGATACAACGCACACGCGCTAACCATTCGGCCATCCAACCCGCCTCTTATGGGTGATACAGAATTAAGAAAACTGAATAAAGAGCTGTTTCGTTTTGAGTGATCAGTTCAAAACTTGTTTAATTTAACCCGACACATGTCAACCAATTAATTTCTCCATTCCAAGCCACTTTATTCCTCTATAAACCAGTGGGTGGGGGGGGGGCGGTGACTCAGTGAGTAAGACGTCGACTCACTAACCTGACTCGCTAATCTGGAGGTCTCGTGTTCGAACCCTGCATTAGCCGAGAAAAAAAAACATCAGGATTTTCCGGTGTGGTTTTCCTTTGTCATTGATGTAGGGCGGAGGGCCCGACAAGGGACAAAGTGTAGTCTTTCGGATGGGACGCAAAACTGAATCCTCGTGCACACATTGGTGTGCATATAAAAGATCTATTGACAGTTGATAAGGGTAGGTCGTACCGCCGCTGTTCGGGCAAAATTTTCCCTCACAGCACACTGTATGACGTATGCCTGTCTTCATTAGCCCAGTTTGCGCTGAGAAACAGAACGTTTAATGTCATTTCATTTATGACCTATTTGACGACAGTTGAATATTATTAATAAATCTATGCGACATGTTCTGTAAAGAAATAAATATAACTTGATGACTTGTATACAGTAGTGAATCACTCGGGTTTGTAAAGATATGAATATAAACGGGTGTAATTGTTAAAGAGGTGAAAACGTGATTATTCAATCGGTGGTCGATATAAAGGAGGTCGATACAATTGATTAGACAATACCGTATGGATTTATTTCACAGGTCGTGAGAAAAAAACAGTATTATTGTTATATATATCTATAACAGAGAGAGAGAGAGAGAGGGGGGGGGGGAGAGAGAGAGAGCAATGTTCTCTACATTGTACAGGCGTTAACTGGGACAACAGACAAGATAGAGAGAGAAATGGGGTTTAACGTCCACTTGACACAAACTAGGTCATTTTGGGACTTACATATGGTTCAATTTTATTTCAATAATTCGCTTGCGCGTATTGGTCTTTAGCAGTGAGAGGAAACCGTTGAACCCGGAGAAAACCCACGAGGCTGAACAGGCGACCCTACTCCTTGTCACGTACATCCAGGGAATTAAAACCACGCCATTTGACTGCATGACATACCTTATGATTTAAACTTTAAACCATTCGACCACCCAACACCCCACCCATATTCTGAACTAAAAGGCATGTAAAGAAAATACAACTAGCTACAATTTAATTACGTATGCTGTTGTACGGGAAAATCTGCAAGGACAACTCTTTCAAACATTTATTCAGCTGCGCGGGCAAATGTGAAGAGATCTTTTACGTGCACGTCAAAGTGTACACGGGACCTCGGGTTTTCGTCCCATCCGAACGACTAGGGGAAACCACGCCGGAAAATCTGGATGAACTTTCTCGGTCATTGCATTGATCGGACACCCGATCTCCAGGCTAGCGAGCCAGCGTCTTACCCACTTAGCCATCGTGATCCCCCGGCCTTAAATGAAATGAAATGGAGTTTAACGTCCTACTCGGCCTTGTCGGACAGTCGGTGCTTCTGTACGGCGACGCATAGTAAGTCTACTAGCAGTCGGCTCCGTTAGAAAACGACTTGGGAGGGCGCATAGAGACACCGACAGGTTCCCACTCGGCAAGCCTCGGCAGATTCCGTTACTCTACATCAAGCCTCGGCTGTATGACGGTAAGTGATATGTACTTACGCCTATACCGGTTTAGTTATTAGGAACACTTGCCGCTTTTAAAAAGAAGTTATCATAATTGCGTCGTTCGAAGCGTGTGTAGAATTTTCATTGCAAAGTTGTCCTTGTTTGAAGAAAATCGGATAACCTTGAAAGAAAAATAGCTTCAGACTTTGAAATATTTGTATGATAAAACATTCTTCTATGGCGTCGTCATGGGCAACGCCGTTGGTAATCCGGGAACTTGAAAGTAGTTCCAATGGCGGACTTCGTCATACAGCCGAGGCTAGATGTAGGGTACTGGAATCTGCTGAGGTTTGCCGAGTGACAGGTTCCGACACCCTATGGGATCCAAGGCCGATAATCGATTTTCCTGTCGGCGCGTTTTTTGATATACAAATATTTACATCTCTCGGATTTCTCACTATTTATATCCCTGGCCTCGGTTTTGCAAAGCATTATGTATCTTTAAGTTAAGAATTTATATAACTTTCAATCACCTTTTATGAGAAATATCTTTGATCCAGAAGCATAAAACTTTGTACATAGTTTCTTATTAAACAATAAAAGTTTATAAAGGGCTATATTTTAGTTAAAACAAGGCGAACAATTTTGAGTAAATCCTTAACTAAAGCCTGAGAATGTTTTGTGAAACCGGGTCCTGAGGTCCGTAGACGGTTTGTAGATATTCACCACAAGAGAAAAGACAAACTCGAGTCTAATTGTTTAATCATTTACATATCTTCTGTGCAATAAATATAAATATATCAATGGACAGATTGTGTTATTAAACAGGTTTTTATTTCGATGTGGCCTTATTCCAGATCTTTACCTTTATATACATATATACAATAATAAACAATAATAAACAAACTATACGGGGTAGGATGATTTACCCAATACTACCACATACTACCCAATACCACCACATACTACCCAATACTAGGCTACAACATAATGGTGCAAAATGAGCATATTACTTGAATTTTTTCAAAAATAGTGAGATTTTTGGCAGGAAATGTACTTCAAATGCGATTATCGATGTACGGTTGTTCCATTTGCCTCCCTAGCTATATCACCCAAATGCGATTACTGCTGTTCCATTTGCCTCCCTGGCTATATCACCCAAAACAAGCAAATAACCCAATACTACCAAATATTATCAAATAACAACCTAATATCATCAAATAGTATCATTATGTTGTAGTATTGGGTAGTATGTGGTGATATCGGGGTAATATTGCGTAAATCTTCCCGCAGATATACAAGGCGGATACTCGATTGAATGTTAAAAATAGTGACAATTGAGTGAAAAGGGGAATTTTTAGCTAAATCGCTGATGTTAACGTTAACACGAGTTATATTGGGGACGTTATATAACTAGGATGTTATATATATATCGTTAAAACGCGTTACACGGGGGACGTTATATAACTAAGATGTTATATACATAACGTTAACACACGTTATATGGGGGACGTTATATAACTTAGATGTTATATATATATATATATATATATATATATATAACTGATATTCTATATTCTATACTAGGGTTTTACACCCGCGTTATATTTTATACACTAGAGCATCCCCTATGACTATAAGACGGCTGAGTGTCTTCTAACACTAGCTTTAGACTAAACCCACGCTATATCAAACTTAAATACCTTGGGCAGTGGAAATTAAACGACATTTAAATATGACACTCTATTCTGACACTTGCTTTAGACTAAACCCAAGCTATATTAAACTTAAACACACATTATGCAAGAGCTAAATCTGCCTATTGCAGGTCTTTCTTTAGGCCTGAAATGTTTTCTAAAGTATTAATTAGACATTAATTAACTGATCCAGGCCTTAATCAACTCTCGATGGCATCAGATTTCTCCGATATTAAAATAATTTTCAAATTATTCATTTTACATCATCTACTTTCGAACTATTATAGCAAGAATAGCTAGCTCTTTATCTAAATCTTACATAATGTATCTTTAAATACCCTGGGCAGTGAGAATATCTTACACACATTACATCAAGACAATATACATTTATATAAACTATATTCACAGATCAAGGACAGTCTCCAGTAAAACAGCATAACAAATAGACCCCTGTATTATCACAGACTTGACCCTTTCTAAACCTGATACACAACTTTAAGATACTAAACCTCATGTTATATCCAACGTGTTATGGTGAAGAAAAGCAGGGGGTGTACAGAAAAACGATCAAGGGGAAGTGAGGGTGATGCTGTTCCGGAGTGAATGACTGCTGAGCCCCGAGCGGGGTATGGGTGGTTCTCGCCCAGATAATTTTGAACGTTTGAAGTAGATTTCCTTGCATCTGAGGCCATTTCTGAAGGAAATTTACTCTTTTAAATGTATAGGCTCTCTCCTGGGCAACTCCTGAATAAGCTCCCCTGGACACGCGCCTGAAAATAGCGATTCTATAAATAGCCACATTTGTAAGTTTCATGAAACTATCTCCAGTAGTTAACAACTTCTGTTCTACATTTGTAAGAAGGCGGGCAGGTGGACGGACGGCCTGCTATATACCCTCCAACTAATAGAGGTATAACAAGCTAACAGTGACAGACCTTCTGATCCAACACGCACGTGTTAACCATTCGGCCACCCAACACCCCTACATTTTTATATAGCGAACAGTCTTGAAATATAATATAAAGATCCAACACGCACGAACACCCCTACATTTTATGTAACGATCAGCCTTGAAATATAATATAAATACTGAAACATATGTGTGAACCAAGCCTGGAAATACGGCACCTGTCACCAATCTAATTAAAACACAGATCCTATTTCGTTTCGTTTTTTATAGTTCAAAATTTCGTTTTATTTGTCTTTACTACACTAGGATCTGGAAGATTTATGTAACCTGTGTTCTGGATGATGTGAGAGATTAGCCAAAGAATCGGTCTGTTACGGCGAGTTTTTGGCGTTAGGTGCACGGAACTATGGGTAACCCACTAGAAACATTAACTCTGATTGGTTAATCAAATGTCTGACGTCATTGGGTCAAAAGCCACCCGTATGACCTCTGACGCGACCTTCCACTACAACCGGTCAGATCTTCATGTAGTGTAGACCATCGAAAGTATAAAAAAAACGGAACGAAATATAGATCTGTGTGAATCAGATTGCACCTGTCACAGACACTGACTGGCATAAATTCAGTCTTTATCAGAAACACCTGTACCTGTCATTATGATACCTGTCATGATACCTGTCATTATGTCTTAATACAGTTGACACAAGTTGAAAATGTCAGGTAGTATTTCCAGGTAGGATGTGAGCATTATTAAATCATTGGTGGAATTCAATATAACAAACATGACTATATATAAATAATGATAAAAATAACAGTGAGATTGATGAAATATCAACAATAATGATTATAATAAATCCTTCTAATGTCTTCACCATATAATTTATAAATCAGGGGCCTGTTTCACGAAAACTTAAACTCAGATACAATCCAAATTTTAAGAAATACTGCAATTCGATTGGCTGACCAGTAAAATCAATTTGCATATATCCAATGAAGTTGCAGTATTTCTTAAAATTTCGGTTGTAACTTAGTTTAAGTTTTCGTGAAACAGGGCCCCGGGATTTAAATTTACTGTACTCCACAATTGAGCAATAAACAAATCGGCTAATCTCACTTTTAATTCTGGTGACCTAATATCGATTTCCATACATAACGAGTTCATTGATCAGAAACGATAAAAAGAAGCAGAAAATGAGAAGGAAAAATCAACGAAATAAAAAATCAGTTTTTATAAATTCAGAGTGTAATAATGTGAGGAATTCAATGATCTGATCAGATCTGATCACAATAGAGACGAAAACCCTGATTCAAATACTGATACCAGTATAAATATAAAAATAACAAAAATATAATAAAAAAAACAAATTGTTTGGTTTTCTACCGACATTAACAACAAGAGAGAAATAGATGAAATATTCATTAAATATTATCTTCTAAATAACTTTCTTTAATAGTACTGTTTAACAGGTCACTTAATGAAAAATTGAATGCAATCGCTCTGAAAGATTACCTAATCATCTAATCAATCCAGCGTATTATCAACGATAATCAGGTTGAGTGGTAGTTAAACACTATAATTATCAACGATAATCGGGTTGAGTGGTAGTTATACACTCAGTACACTATAATTATCAACGATAATCGGGTTGAGTGGTAGATATACACTCAGTACACTATAATTATCAACCATAATCAGGTTGAGTGGTAGTTTTACACTCAGTACACTATATTAATTTGGGAATTTTGAATATCATTCACCATATCATGATGTCCGATTGAGCATCGGACGTTTTCGGACATTTGGAAAATAGCGCAGGACATGTCTGAAATATACGGGCGAAATCCCAACACTGACTCAAGGCTAATTTTCTCAGCAATCAGTTAAAGGCTTGATACATCATTTAGTTCTATAGGAATCTATTACAAACCACCGTATTATAACTGATTAATGATTATCTATTAAATTACAGAAATATTTTAACTGATTAACGACAGAAATATTGATTAATCATTATCTTTATGATTTTCATCTGAATATAATTCCAGAATCATGCAGATCACAAAATGAATAGAAAACTGTTTTAAATGTTAGTTAGTTGTTTTAAATGTGTGTAAGTTGGTCTAAATACTTGTAAATTGTTTTAAATGTTTGTAGGTTGTTTTAAATGTTTGTAAGTTGTTTTAAATGTTTGTAAGTTGTTTAAAATTCTTGTAAGTTGTTTTAAATGTTTGTAAGTTGTTTTAAATGATTGTAAGTTGTTTTAAATGATTGTAAGTTGTTTTAAATGTTTGTTAGTTGTTCTAAATGCTTGTAAGTTGTTCTAAATGCTTTTAAGTTGTTCTAAATGCTTTAAAGTTGTTTACAAGTTATTTTAAATTCTTTGTAAATTATTTCAAACAGTTAATATATGCTAAATGGCTGTAAGTTGTTTTCTTAACTTCGTTGATAATTCTGGATGCCAGAAGTCGACTATTAAAACCAAACGTAAAGAATCACCATGATGCCAGACTTCGTGTTCAAAAGAATCATCAAATATGATCACTTCACCTTCAGTCCAGGTTCTGTAAATATATACAACACTAATTCATGTCAGTCCACTTCGTTTTCGATACTGTATTAAATAGGGCATTATGGGATATTAGATAAAGCGTTGACAGTTCTCACTATAATAGTTAAAAGATAGATAACGTAAATAGAATATGATGAAAATTTCAGTCAAATTGCTCCACTCTGAACCGAGATATTAGCGATTGAATTTTATGCCTAGTCTCGATCATCATTACTAAAGTCCGTACAATAAAACTCATCCATCACAAAATGTATTCAAATCAAGTAAATATTGCAAGCTTGCGATGGCATCAAGAGTTGATTAATAATTTAGATAAAATTGAAGGCCTAAAGAGAGACCTGCAACAGGCATATTTAGATCTTGCATAATGTATGTTTAAATTCGGCTGATTTTGATTTACCTTACAAATTAAATCCCTTTGTGTGACTGATTGACCATCTCTACAATTACTGTATGCTGATTAATAACCTACCTTGTATTGTTGGCAACCCGTATTTTAGGTCCAGGGGGAATAACTAGTCCTAGATGAGCTCGCAGACGACAGTTGGTCGGACCAGTATGTGGCCAGACATGAACTCCTGGATGCATCACCGAGAATTTCACCTGAAACAAAAACAAAAAGATAGGCATATAAAACCAGCGGCTGCCAGGCAGGATACGCCCACATTTTCGAGAGATGGATAGAGTCCACAACCTTGATATACCATATTCTTACGCTATTTGTGAACGAACGGCGGCCATTTTGTCTGTCAATTTTGGGCCGATTTTCACGAAATTCGAACTCAGTCATCCTTAGGGTGTAACGGTGACATAATAGAACAATTTTTTTAAAACGGATAAAAATTATGACTTCTATAGGGTCCACAAGCTAAAAACGTGATTTTTCGTACAATCAGGGGCCATAATTCAGGAAGTTACGGTCCGATATGCACGAATATCGAAAGGAACCGAGATCTTTGGGTTATAAACTGACATTTCAAGTTTCAACAAAATCGGATCAAAATTGTGACCTCTATAGGGTCCACAAGCTAAAAATGTGATTTTTCGTACAAACAGGGGCCATAATCCATGAAGTTTCGATCCAATACATGCCAATATCGAAAGCAGCCGAGATCTTTTGGGGATACACCTATATTTCAAGTTTCGTCGAAATCGGATAAAAATTGTGACCTGTAGAGAGTCCACAAACAATTGTGGACGGACGGACGGGGGCGACGACATAATACGTCCACATGAAAATGTGGGCGTATAAAAAATATCCACAGTGCAGACATTTAAAAAAGGGAAAGGGGTGTAGGAGGCTGCATGATCTACAACGATGTACGGTTTAGATCGCAAGATCGGTCACTGAGTCAAGTGGCATGGTTTCAATTCCACGCTTGTATGTGACAAGAAATAGGGTCGCTTTGTCTAACCGCGTTGGATTTCTCTGGGTCCTACTCTGTTAAAGACCCCTATGCTCAAGCGAATTGTTGAAATAAAATTGAACCATATGTTAGTCCCAAAATGTCCTAGTTTGTGTCCAGTGGATGTTAGCTCTCTCTCTCTCTCTCTCTCTCTCTTCTCTCTCTCTCTCTCTCAGACAACATCTTTGAGGGAGAGAAATGGGGTTTAACGTCCACTCAACACAAACCAGGTCATTTCAGGACTAACATATGGTTTAATTTTATTTCGATAATTCGCTTGCGCATAGGGGCCTTTAGGAGTGGGAGGAAACCAGAGGACCCAGAGAAAACCCATGAGGTTGGACAGGCGACCCTACTCCTTGTCACGTACAACCGTGGATTCGAAACCATGCCAGCTGACTCAATTACAGGCCTTATGATACTGCACGCACGTGCTAACCATTCGGCCCCCCACCCCCCCCACACACACCCTCACACACACACCTTTGAACATATTCTTTGTACATTTCAATTCAATGTCCACTGGACGATAAAGACTAAAAACACATGAACATAAAGACTATAGAATCTAGTAGACAGGATGATAAAGACTATTACTGACCTGTCCACGGCTACACTCGATGGCATCAGGAATTTGTTGAAGAATGGAACATGTTTTTGGGGCTCGTTGACAATTTCTTTTATCTTGTCTTCCTGTAATGAGGATAAAATCATGAAACTTCTATTCTTTGTTTCTGGCTACAAAAACACCAAGCAATGTCTTCAAAGACCTTAAAAAGTCACATTATACCCATATTCCTGTAGCAATGGCCCGAGAAATCCCTCTCTGGCCATTGCTGGATTGGCTTCTGATACTTAAGCATTTGAGGGAGTTTGTCTATTCTTCCCATTCAATCAAATCTATCCCCAAGCACAGCAACATGACAGCCCTTCATTTAATCTAGGGTCTTCCCTAAAACTTTGGACAGTGATCTAACGTATTAAAAACGGCAAAAGTATGTTCGTCTCCAAACAGTATTGTTTACATTATATCCGTGCTGATAGCCTGTTTGTCAAGCAATTAGTTTTTCTACAATATTCTGCTATGCACTGGTTAATTGGGCATAATAAAATCGTGAGTCATGACGTAACGTTATGTAAACATATTTTGTCCAATTTGGAGCTCTTGTTTTAAGCGTAATAATTTTGTAACGCAGTTAGCTATTGGTTGTTAATCGGACCAATATCAAATTTCTCACACTAAACAATAAATATTTACACAGATGGATTATTAAACATTTAACTAAGAAACCAAAATCCAAACGTAAGATAATCCCCGGCTCCAACATAAAGTCTAAACTGTTATACCAATAATCTCACCTCTAGCATAAAGTGTAAACTGTTTCCAATCACCAGTTTCTATTAAGTTTTCCGATTCTGGGAGAAAAACACCTTTTTCTACGTCCATATTGGCCAGACCCTCATCTCGAATAATCTTCCAATTATCTTCTAATAACTAAATATAATATCATTAATTAACGATGTCAGGTATAACTAAATATAACATCATTAATTAACAACGACAGGTATAACTAAATATAACAGGTATAACTAAATATAACATCATTAATTAACAACGACAGGTATAACTAAATATAACATCATTAATTAACAACGACAGGTATAACTAAATATAACATCATTAATTAACAACGACAGGTATAGACCATACAGTATGCTAAAAGGGGAATTTTTGCTCAGGCAGCAGTGTGAATGCCAAAGAGTACCCAGGTGGCCCTGGATTTTGTGTCTGATCGAAATGACTCAGATGTTTTTTCTTGACAGGCACGCCATCCTGCACCACTGACTTCACAAGCGGTTACCATGCAAGATACACCCACATTTTGCAAGAGATGGACAGAGAACATGGTAAAAGGGTGATTCTTTGGACAATCAGGGGCCATAATCCATGAAGTTAAAGTCCTATACATACCAATATCGCAAGGATCCAAAATCTAAGGAAGATAAACCTATATTTCAAGTTTAATCAAATTTGAATAAAAATTGTGACTTGTAAAGTGTCCATAAACAAATTGTGCACAGAAGTCCGAACAGACATGGGCGACGGAAATATATGCCCATATGAAAATGTGGGTGTATTAAAATTCGCTAGGAACTTTTTCAGTCAACCGCTGAGTCTCCCTTTAACTCAACCACTGAGTCTCCCTTTAAGATGCATTATGCCTACCTAGCGCAGGTCTTTCTTTTGGTCGACCTAAGAATTTTACATTGATAACAGAAACTTGCCATTTAGTGTAATATTAGTATATGATGTCCCAAATCAGATTTGATAATTTGAGCGCAAAATATTTATTTGTTGTCATGGAAATGGTGGCCATATTGGATTTTTTTATATATTCACGGTGGCTATGTTAGGAAATCAAAATCTTCAACAATTTTATTGAAACAAACTATTTGTGATTTGGAATAACATATATAGGCATTAAAGAGTGCAATAAGGCATAAATTTTACTATTTGAATGTTAATAAAGAACATTATGCATCCCACATAAAACAAGTGGGTGTGGCCGAACACACCACTAAAAGGATTTTGTACAATAAAATGTCCAAATGTATAACAAACACTTTGAAAATCACCTTATTACAAACAGTAGCTATAGCACTAATCGTATTCCAAAGATGAGACCATTATCTCTCATAGATTTTGAGAATTTGATTTTCTAAGACCTGATATGGGTGAAAAATTGAGTACTGAAAAATGCAAGTTAAAAATTTGATTTACCTATACAAATGACTAAATATTTAACACTATATAATATAAAAGCTGGACACGACTTGAAAAATCAACAAATTTTAACTATTTTGGGCAATTTTAGCTGATATCAAAATTTGACAGATCAATCTATACAGAGTGTTTTATAAGGTAGTGTCCTGCCTTAAATTAATTATTAATTAGACATTTATTAACATGACAAAACCATAAAGAACTCTCTATGCTCTAGATTTTCAACACATTTAAACAGGATTGGCGGTTACGATTTAATTTAAGAATTTAAGATAACCCAGATTTTGCTTACTATCGTAACAATGGTAGCAATGACAATTGAGAGTTCGCTATTCTCCAAACAGCCCTGACAATGCTCGGAATGAAGTCATTTGAAATTTTCAAGATATTCCCTTTTTATTATCTATTTTGAGACAACATCATGTTTGCCATGAGATTTAGAGAATTAAACGAGAATTTGACTAAATCAATAGCTATGAGACAAGATGTCTGCTCAATAGAGTGGAGTAAGGCTAAAATGGTAGCCAAGCTTCCCACGTGCCTGGCTTACTTACCTTGACATATTTAGAATATCCAGTCTGTTTTACTGTCCACCACGGTCGTCCAGTCAGATGATTGACATTATATAAAGATCTCTGATCTGGCGAGAGTAAAACCCCTTTCTGAGCCCCTTCAATATACACCTGTCGAGCCTGTAACACAGAAATATCATAGTCTATACCTGTCAAACCTGTAACACAGAAAGTAGCCACGGTGGCTCAGTGAGTAAGATGTTGGCTCGCTAACCTGGAGGTTCGGTGCTTATTGTCTCTGTTGACCGAGAAATTTTATCAAGATTTTCAGGTGTGTTTCCCAATCATCAGTAGTCCAGGATGGAGGGCCTGGCAAGGGGGAAGGTATAGTCATTTGGACGGTCAGAAAACAGTACACATTGGCGTGCATGTAAAATTACCCTTGGTAGTTAGAATTGGATATAAGACTAGGCTGTAGCGCTGCTGTCAAGACAAAACTTGCCCCATAGCAAACTGTATGACATATGCCCTTCTTCATTATCCCAGTCGGAGCAGAACAGTAGGACTACTCCGTGTCACAAACAAGCATGTAAATGAAACCACGCCACTTGACTCAATAATCCAACGAGCATAAATAATAAAAGATGTAGAGATAGAAAAAAAAGCTTACCTCATCCGGTCTGTTGAGTCGAACTAAAGCATCTCCCAGATGAAAATAAAACTTGCCCTCAACCGTATCAGGAGCGTTAGAGTTTAAACCAGCACGTAAATATTTCACGGCTTTCTCTAGATCCTTGTTCTCTACTTTATAGATGAAGCCTAGATGTACGTTACCAAAACCATTATCCTTATCTAGATCTAAAACCTGACAAAATACACAAACACAGATGTACGTTACCAAAACTATGGCGGGGTATCAGGTTCAAAATGCGATCTGCAGTAGAAAGTAGAAAATAAAAAGCAAAAGAGAAAATTCTTATCCAAAATGGACATTTTCGTGTGGGAAACATATACCGCTCGTGCTTTTCAACCTAATACGTCCACCTTTTCAACTTTAAGTCGTAAATATTCTACTTTCAACAACAGAATTTCTACTTTCAACAACCAAATTTTTACTTTCAATAATCAACTTTTGACATTCGACTTTCAACTTCAGATTTTCTACTCTAGATTTTCTGCTCGAGATTTTCTCCATTCATATTACAGAAATAAATTTGATCACGTAACTATTTCTGCATGTCATTAAAATACAGTATCTATGGGATTATTTATTTTTACGGGGAAAAAAATAAAGGAATTTTAATGACATGCAGAAATAGTCGAATGTCAAAAGTTGATTATTGAAAGTAGAAATTCTGTTGTTGAAAGTAGAAATTCTGTTGTTGAAAGTAGAATATTTACAACTTAAAGTTGAAAAGGTGGACGTATTAGGTTGAAAAGCATGAGCGGTATATGTTTCCCACACGAAAATGTCCATTTTGGATAAGAATTTTCTCTTTTGCTTTTTATTTTCTACTTTGTACTGCAGATCGCATTTTGAACCTGATACCCCATTATCCTTATCAAGATCTAAAACCTGACAAAAAAAACAACATCTTTCTTCATTTGTATGTCCTTTCAATTTGACTCTCGAATCTTGTTGGCACTCTGAATCATTGGAAGGACAGGGGAAATTCAATATTGCGCCCAAGATGGCCACCATTCTAAATAACAGACCATAAATCTCCCTGCTATTCATGTTAGGGGACAATGTTGATGTCTACACCAAGGTCTTATGTTAGGGGAGAATGTTATGTTTGGTGTCTTTGGGGCCAAGCAATCCATGAAAACCGACCACTAGATGGAAAGCATGTGACGTCATCGTGAAATCCAAGATGGTTGCCAGATAGCAACCAATCTTGACCTTATAATGAAATCCAACATGGTTTCCAGATAACCCCCAAACTGTGATTTTGGGGGCTATACATAGGTTATAGGGGTCAATCCATCCCTTAAAACCATTCAGAGAGGACATACAGAGGAGAGAGTCTGGTTGAACATGACTACTAACTTACCCAAACATATATAACAAAAGGTCTGGTTGAATGTAGCTAATGTAGTCAGCAGTTATTTACCTAACACTACAGTTCCTCCCAAATTTTTGGGACCGAAATCGCCGCGACGCGGTGAAAAAAAACTCTCGGAATTCTCTTAGATTTCACGGTGAAATTTCGCTTGATTCCGCGGTGATTTTTCTCTAAGATTCGCTAGGAATTCACCGTGTCTCTAGGAATTCGCCGTGTTTCTCTAGGAATTCACCGTGTTTCGATAAGAATACATCGTGTTTCGATAAGAATACATCGTGTTTTGCCGTGCTTCCCGCAAGAAATTCGAGAGCCTACCTTAAGCTAGGGTCGAATTAATGTTGTCTTTAATAAATTAAAGGAGTTGTAATATAGTAATGCTCCCGGGAAACGTGTACATGTATAATGTACAGGCAGGTTTGAATAACAAATGAGTTAGGTAATCTCGGGAAGACATTTACCGGCATTCTGTATCGGTTAGGATTTTTTCCCCAACGCACTTTATACATACATAACGCCGGCCAAAATGTATGCAAACTATGAACAACTTACAATTTTTTAAACATATCAATTCATCTTCGTTTATAACTTAGATGTAATCCGTCAATTTGGGGCTGCTATCAAATCCAAACTTTAAATTATATACGATGAGCTTTTACACATTACTTCATTACTCGCAGCTTCGGTTAATCTAAATCAATCATCCATACAGCACGTACAGTAATCACTCCGCGGGTCGCTTAACGGTATGTTACGTGGTCAGAAACGCGCCAAAAGATTGGGACTACATGTATATTCTTACGCTGTTTTACTCGGCGAATAATATCCGCTGTGACAATATACATCTACTTTATGTCACCCAATTCATTTCGGTGGGAGCAGATATTGAATAAAGCCATTTCACACACACATACGTGTACATTACATGCGCCTCATATATTTATACAATATCCACGAGTGTGTTAATTCTCGTCTTCACCCCGTTATAATTTACTTATTTTGAGTACACTTTCTGAATGATTCCATTCTTTTGTACGTCCAACTTGTTGATTTCCTACTGCATATACATGTACCCTGCAGTCCATGCGAAATGATATTTTTTTTACTGGACATTTGGGCAGGTATTATTCCAACTATTGCTGGACCGAATGAGATTTTACTGGTCCAAAAAAGTTCATACCAAAAATATGCATAAAATAAGTAATAATGGCCTAAAACTCGAAAAACAACAAACAGTATTTTCATTCTATTGTTACTTAATATTATCTATGATACACGTAAATCATTATTATTTTCTATCAACAATAGCGCCAATATTTACAATCGTTTTACTGTTCTATAAATAGACCGCGTAAAGAAAATATAATCCCTTAGATGACAATCGAGTCTACCAGAAGCCAATGTTATTAATACAATAAAAGGACTTTCGTTTTAGTCTGGATTAACCTAGCCTACTACTTACTAGACTAGCTCGATATACGGTACTATGTACTCGAGATAAGATTTTGTTTACATTTTAAACAATAGTGAAATTAACACAATAAATTAAACGAGAATTCATCAATCCGTGCACGAAGTGCCGTCAGTCAGTGCCAATACGGCGATGATTTAATATTTGTAAGTTGAGTGTCCGTTAACCCGTCCACAAGCAAACCCGTCCACGGTTAAGGTAATACCGGTACTTGACTTGTATATTATTTAATTGATTAGAATAGATCACTTTTACTCATTGGTTGTTTATATTGTTTTATTTACCTAATAATCAACTAGCTTGGCTCGCCATCCCGACAGCGATTAGTTCGAGTTCAAATTCTTTATTCCTTTAAGCCAAAGACTCATCAGGTATAACATATAGTACAAACAAATAAATAAATACAATATGTACAAAAACAATATAGTTCACCGATGTTTTTGTAATAAAGAACAATAGTATTGTTTGTTGATTAGCGTTATGATTTTAGACAAAATGGTAAGTTCACCAATGTTTTTGTAATAAAGAAGACCCGTATTGTTTGTTAATTGACTTTATCCCATGATTTAAAAAATTGGCGATGGTTAATATTGGCTCAAAAATAATTCCTTAAATTGCGCCGGAGCACCTTTTAGATTAATTGAATTCGCATAAAAACATCAAAGAGTGGTTACGTGCGATTTTATTCTTTGATACACGGCACATTTCTGTTATTCAAACAAATCTGCACGAGAATGACAACATACAAGTTGACAGTTACCATTGGTTTGGGGTTCATGAAGAATAGGCTTTTCTATCGAGCCTACAGTTATTCTTTTCTAAAATAAAATGAGTGCCTTGGATTTTTGTGTGGATTTGATAGCGGTTATACTTTACTAATATTCTCTGACATCGGAGACTTGTGTCGCGTTCTTTTCATTTTTGCGGTAAGTACGAGCTTCTTATGTCTGATTTGAAAGCGCTTTCGACTCCCGTTGCAAGTTCTATTTGTCACTTTTGTGACTTTCGCAGTGTACCCCCTCCCACCCATATTATTTTAATACGTCATAATACATTATTATCATATACCGGTGACAGTCAAGATTTGCTAAATACTTTTCGCCAAGTAACACAGCGTAAGAATATATAGTCCCAGTGTCAAACCCAACATCTCATGTTTTCGCGCGTTAACCGCATTGCGGAGTGATTTACATGTATGGCACTGTGATTTATGAATTGGTTGATTTGGATTAACTGAAGCTGCGAGTAATGAAGTTATGTGTAAAATCTCATCGAATATAATTTAAAGTTTGGATTTGATAGCAGCCAATAAGATGAAATGATATGTTTAAAAAATTGTAAGTTATTCATTGTTTGCATACACGTACATTGTGGCACCACGTTATACATGTACAGTGTGTTAGAAATACGACCGTAGCTGCCTCGCCAATGGTTAACATATCTTGTATTCAACTTAAATAAATTACATTTTTCGTCAACATGCTTACATCGGGATGATATCGGCACTCAAGCGATTCACCGTGTATCACCGTGAAACACCATAATTCACCGCGAAACACCCTATTTCGCGGTGATTTGGCTAACTGCCGTTTCGCTAGCGATTCTCCAAGATTCCACCGTGAAATAGAGTGTTTTTCCGCGGTGTTCGGCGATTATAGTCCCAAACTCCAGCACTGTAGTGTACTAAATACCTGTTGAAAGAGACCAGCTATCACTACCAACATACCTGTTGAAAGAGACCAGCTATCACTAGCAATATTCCTTTTTAGAGTGACTGGTTACCATCTTGCTAACACACCTCTTAAAAGAGGCCAGCTTACAACATACCTGTTGACAGAGACCAGCTAACATACCTGTTGAAAGAGACCAACTAACAACATACCTTCTGAAAGAGACCAGCTAACAACATACCTGTTGAAAAAGACCAGATAACAATGTACCTTTTGAAACAGACCCGCTAACATACCTGTTGAAAGAGACCAACTAACAACATACCTGTTGAAAGACTATTTTAGCCTGTGTATTTTGACCAGCTATCAGCAGACTCACACCCAATTGGTTTTTCAATGATATATTTTTAGGAAATCTGTCCGCCAATATCTGATGTGTTTTTATAGCCCTTACATTCCAACCTATAACAACAGAAAAACCAATACTTAACATATTTAATACATATTTAATTTTGTTTTAAAAAGTTCTAATTTAATTTTTATTTTCTTATCTTATAATGCTTAGTGCATGTGCTGGGATCTTTCCTGCAGGAGGAAACTGCACAGCAGAGGTGATCGGCCAAAAATGAAATGGAGTTTAACGTCCTACTGTTCTGCTCCTATACTGGGCTAATGAAGACGGGCATACGCCAGACAGTGTCCTATGAGGGATATTTTGCCTGGGTAGCGGCACTATCGCCTACTCTTATATCGAATTCCAACTGCCAGGGGATCTTTTACGTGCATTCTAATATATACATGGGACCTCGGTTTTTCGTCTCATCCGAAGGACTAGACAGATTTCCTTGTCAGGCCCTCCGTCCTGCATCACTGACAAGGGGGAACCACGCTGGAAAATCTGAATGAACTTTCTCGCCGAATGCACCATAAGGAAAAACCTGTACCTCTAAATGTTTGTAGCTTGGCTAACTCCGGTCCAGCTGTTAATAATAATTGATCAGGTACATCACCAGCTGTAACTAGTATATTAAATACACCGATACTCTTCTCTAGTAGCTGATTGCTCCGTTCTATCTCCGCCATCTTGGACAAACAATTAGCCTTACCATACAACGCCCGGGGACTATACGGGTATTTCAACAGAATCTCGTCATATAACGCTTTACTGTTTAAATAATTCTTCTGTAAAAAAACATACAAAAAAAAACAATCTTTTAGAGGTAAAATGACTGGGTTAATGCAGACGGGCATACTCCATACAGTGTGCTATGAGGGAAATTTTACCCGGGTAACAGCACTATGGCCTACTCTTATATCAAATTCCACCTGCCAAGGGATCTTTTATGTGCACACCAATGTATACACAGGTTATGCAGGGATCGAACATGCGACCTCCAGGCTAGCGAGCCAGCATCTTAACTACTTAGCCACCATGACTCCATCTTTTGGAGGCATTAAGTAACTGGATAGAGAGAGAGAGAGAGAAATGGGATTTAACGTCCACTCAACACAAACCAGGTCATTTCGGGACTAACATATGGGTTTGATTTTATTTCAACAACTCGCTTGCGCGTAGGGGTCTTTAGCAGTGGGAGGAAACTGGAGGACCCGGAGAAAACCCACGAGGTTGGACAGGTGACCCTACTCTAACTGGATAGAGCACATAGAACTTGTTTCATAACGTTTAAATCAGGAAATGGAAGCGGTTCAGTTTCTTGATCGCTTACCCAACTTCAACCTATGCGAGACTAATATCCTGTTTGCCTGACAGACTGCCTGCCTGCCTGCCTGCCTGCCTGCCTGCCTGCCTGCCTGCCTGCCTGACTGACTGACTGACTGACTGACTGACTGACTGACTGACTGACTGACTGATGACTGACTGACTGACTGACTGACTGACTGACAGACTAACTGACTGACTGACTGACTGACTGACTATGTACCTACCTTATCATATAAATCATCAGCTGCATCTAATTCTACCCTTATTTTATCATCTAATTTATTTGTTATCTCAGATTTATCATATTCTTCTACTTTCACTTTCTTGCTTTTAGATTCTTCATTTTGTGATACATCTGATTGGCTAGTGGTGTCTTGACCTGATTGGCTAGCGGTGTCTTGACCTGATTGGTTAGCAGTGTCTTGGTCTGATTGGCTAGTGGTGGCTTGACCTGATTGGCTAGCGGTGTCGTGATCTGATTGGCTAGCAGTGTCTCGATCCGATTGGCTGATGGGTATATTTTCAGTATTCTGATTGGCTGTCTGAGGATGATTAATGGTATCATCAAGCGATGACTGGAAATTGGAATATTTATTGATAACATCAACTGAAAAGATAGGTTGCCAGGCAACGAAACATACGCCCACATCAGCTAAATCGTCCGGGCAGTCAACAAGTATTGTCACATATTTTAACTTCTATCGGTAATGAAACATTTCTAATACACTAAAATCTGATTAAGAGTAACAACTCATGAAGTAATTATCAGAAAACGATTAGAATTTGTTTGGTTTTTATAAAGTTCTGCCCCATGCTAACGTTTAGTATACAAAACTTTTAATATCATGGATTTAGCTGTTCAAGTCATAAAAATTCATTGAAAATCAATATACTTGTTTGTCTCAAGCTCTTAAACTCTGTGTATCAATCTGAAGTCAACTCTGGCAGTAGTAATCGGAAATCGCTGAAAATCAATAGGCTTCTTCGTCTCATGACCTTAAACACTGTGTATCAATTTAAAGTCAATCGGATATTAACTTTGGCCCTTAGAGCGTCCAAAAGATTTTTTGAAGTGATCAAGAGCCATAACTCTGGCAGTAATTATCGAAAATCACTGAAAATGAATAGACTTCTTTGTCTCATGACCTTAAACACTGTGTATAAATTTAAAGTCAATCGGATATTAACTTTAGCCTCTAGAGCGTCCGCAAGATTTTTCAAGGTGATCAAGGGCCATAACTCTGGCAGTAATTATCTGAAATCACTGAAAATCAATAGGCTTCATCGTCTCATGACCTTAAACACTGTGCATAAATTTAAAGTCAATCGGATATTAACTTTGACCTGTAGAGCGTCCACAAGATTTTTTTAAGTGATCAAGGGCCATAACTCTGGCAGTAATTATCGGAAATCGCTGAAAATCAATAGGCTTCTTCGTCTCATGACCTTAAACAGTGTGTATAAATGTAAAGTCAATCGAATATTAACTTTGGCCTGTAGAGCATCCACAAGATTTTTTGAAGTGATCAAGGGCCATAACTCTGGCAGTAATTATCGGAAATCGCTGAAAATCAATAGGCTTCTTCGTCTCATGACCTTAAACACTGTGTATAAATTTAACATCAATCGGATATTAACTTTGGCCTTTAGAGCGTCCACAAAATTTTTTGAAGTGATCAAAGGCCATAACTTTGGCAGTAATTATCGGAAATCGCTGAAAATCAATAGGCTTCTTCGTCTCATGACCTTAAACACTGTGTATAAATTTAAAGTCAATCAGATATTAACTTTGGCCTGTAGAGCATCCACAAGATTTTTTGAAGTGATCAAGGGCCATAACTCTGGCAGTAATAATCGGAAATCGCTGAAAATCAATAGGCTTCTTCGTCTCATGACCTTAAACACTGTGTATAAATTTAACGTCAATCGGATATTAACTTTGGCCTTTAGAGCGTCCACAAGATTTTTTGAAGTGATCAAGGGCCATAACTTTGGCAGTAATTACCGGAAATCGCTGAAAATCAATAGGCTTCTTCGTCTCATGACCTTAAACACTGTGTATAAATTTAAAGTCAATCGGATATTAACTTTAGCCTCTAGAGCGTCCACAAGATTTTTTTAAGTGATCAAGGGCCATAACTCTGGCAGTAATTATCGGAAATCGCTGAAAATCAATAGGCTTCTTCGTTTTATGGACTTAAACACTGTATATAAATTTAAAGTCAATCGGATATTAACTTTAGCCTCTAGAGCGTCCACAAGCAATTGTGGACGCCGGACGGACGGACGTACTGGCGACGACAATATATTACCACATTGTGTTTATAATAGCAGTATATTATTACATTACAACGCAGTGAAAAACGGCTGCGGACACTGCGCAAGTGTTTTCGACATTTAACGCTTCTCAAAACATTAGTTTTATTATAGTTTATTGCCGTTGGCTAATTACCACTGCTGTATAGTGTATTTATTATCTATTTTTATGATCATTTTTTTCGATATTTGAAGTTTTTGGCAATAATTGATAAACCACTATATCAACGATTTTTGGCCACATGATATCGTAGTTGGGTCTGAAAATACCATATCGCGATAAATGACTATATCTAAAATATTGTACAGCCCTACCCTTGACTACCGAGCCCCTTCCCCTTGATTACCATGCTCGAACCCCTTGACTACCAAGCCCCCAAACCAGTGATGGGATTTTGCCCGTATATTCCAGACTTGTCCGAATCTTTTTTCCAAACGCCCAAAATTATCCGACCGGGAATATGCCCAATCGGACATCAAGACATGGTGAATAATATTCAAAGTTCCGAAATTAATATAGTTTACTGAGTGTATAACTACCACTCAACCAGATTATCGTCGATAATACGCTGGATTAATTAGGTAATTAAGTGATCAACGTATTTATCATGTTATACGGTCTATAAACATACCTTGATTAACTACTTAATCTGCCTTGATTGACTGACTTAATCCTTTGTCGGACAATTCATCAATCTAATCTTAAACAGAAGCCATTGTTTCCCCTTTGTCGGACTATTCATCAATCCATTATGATTTTAATCTTCGTCTTAACCTCGTGGTTTCTGCATTGTCGGACATTTTAATCGCATTGATGTGAGCCGACAATATGTATAAACTAGTCATAGAAGTCACATATTGTAAGAGTATATAACGCCCAGATCAATAGACAGTCATTATAATTCGTCTGCGATATCACTTCGGTGGAAGCGAGCGTTAAATAAAGCTATTTCACACACACACATATCCGAAAAATACTAGACATTGCTAGCAGTTATCAAAATTGCGTCGTTCGAAGCGTGTTTAGAATTTTCAGAGCAAAGTTGTCCTTGTTTGAAGAAAATCTGATTAGGTACATATCACTACCGTCATACAGCAGAGGCTAGATGTAGAGTAACGGAATCTGCGGAGGTTTGCCGAGTGCTGAACCGGTATTAGAAATCTCGCGAGACGCGTGAAATTATGAAATGAATATGTGACTAAATTCACGCTTCTAATGTCGAAGAAAAGATTCTATTTTGATGGCATATTCTCGGATTTATGATCATATTTTGAGTGGGGTTTATGTTTTTAAATAAAGAAATAAGTAATCTAGGCAATGTTGACGAATATGTCGATTGGAAAAGTGTAAGTACTTAATTGTTTTAGACGATAGTGCGTGCTAGAGTAGAATGCGATTATTTATAATAGCGGATGGTGTCATTCCTCGTTGTGGTATAGCGACGTTTATTGCCCAAAAAATTTTGGGATATCATATTCTTACCCTCTGTACATAAGTCGTAACGGAGTATAAGACGAATGCCTGACTTCTGCTGAAAAAAGTAGCGACTTGTGACCCGAAAATACGGTAATTTTGGAGGAATTTGAAACAGTACAGATCGGCAGTAGTCGGCACGCTTTCATTCTATCATATTACGAATTTTGTAGGAATATTACTGACATAAATTTGAAGACCGTACAGGAATTAAATATGAAAAATAACGAGTTGCACCTATTTTTTTATTACGGACGAATTTGAATATTTTGTTTACACGTGATTTTTGTGTGTGGTCTAAAAACTGCCATCTTAAATAACGATAAGAGTTATGTCCCTTTATTTTCGGTAAAAATGCCCGACAAGAAAAATTTTGAAATCCCATCACTGCCCCAAACCCTTGACTACCGCAACCCACCCCTTGACTACCACCCCCACTATAGTAATAAAGAAGAACATACCAATTTGTTTCTGTATAAGTGGACTAGAGAAAATGACGGCTATAACAGCTACTAAAACAGACAAAATAACAACAACACCCATGTAAATATAACCATCACTTGTACTCTTCTTCACTCCATCCTTCTTCATTTCTCCTCCCCGTCTTTCTTTTACTTTCACTCCATCATTTACTGTAGAGAAAATAAATCAAATTTCATGGGAGAAATTGGCAGAAGCATCTCAAATGATGTCCCAAAAATACACTGGCAGTTAGAAGAGTAGACCTTCTCAGTGATGGAGGGCCTAACAAGGACAGCTGTCTAGTCTTTCAGATGGTATGTGCACAAAAAAGATCCCATGACAGTTGGAATTCGATATAAGAGTAGGCCGTAGCTCCACTGTCCAGGCAAAATGTCCCTCAGAGCACACTGTATGGCGTATGCCCATCTTTATTAGCCCAGTCGGAGCTGAACAGTAAGTGTTGAACCCCATAAGCATTGCCAAGAATATACTTGAAGCGCACGGCCAAGGTTAAATGTCAGCATCCTGTAAATATGATAGGGCGAGTCAATGAACCCTGGATTTTAGAAACTTATTGTCCTAGTTATCCTCGAAGTTACTAAATCACTAATCACTATACACCTTGGACATTGGATCATGTTCAACTGAATCTTCCAACCTCATGGGTTTTTGCCGGGTCCTCCGCTTTTATACTCCCACTGCATAAGACCAGGGCTGTCGGTAATTTTTCACAGTTGATTAGCAGCACTGCTAATCAAAAAGTCCAATTTCGCCAAATTTGATTAGCAAATTTAAAAATTGATTAGCAGTTTTTCAGTTTCAATGTAAAACACCTAAATAACAAGATATTACTTTAATTCATAACAAATATGATTAGATTCCATTCTGACTATTCTTAGATTTTTTAGCACTGCCACAAGTACTTGTGACAGTTTGTGAATGTGATGTAGAAATTTAGTTAGGTCTTATGTCTGAAGCCAATTCTTGACAGTGACTTCCGAAGCCCCACTCATTTTAATTGTTATTTTTTTGTTACGTTAGAAATCTTCGTTAGAAAACAATTTCGTCTGCTTTTTATCGTGTATTACTATTTTTCTTCAATCGGACACACCTCGATTAACTAGACACACACGATATAAACAATAATGTTTTACGGGAATTTTTACTTTGATTTATCATTTTACAATACGTTAACATGTATTTATTTTTTTATATTTTATTTACAATACGTGGGGGATACATTGGATTTATTTCTTTCAAAATGGATATGATATAATTACTTGATGTCTTGCAACGTGAGTGGTACTACTTGATTCCCTATTTCCGGTTTAATAGTCCCTATTCATAGAGTTATGTGTTATATAGTATTGTGTCTGGTAGTTCGAGAAGAAAATGTCACACAGAGAATTCAGTTTTGTTTATAAAAT